TCTCTCTGTCTCTCTGTCTCTGTGTCTCTCTCTCTGTCTCTCTCTCTTTGTCGTGGTAGGTTGGGCAGCCAACTAGGAGCCAGAGGATCAAGGTCTTAATTCATTTCTATGCAGATAACATAAATATTTTAAATACATCTTCATAAGGACTAAAGTTCATGTCTGCATTGCAAATAAAAACTAGGATTGGTGATAGCGAGTAGAAGACTGGGGCTTTGAGAAGAGTTCATGGGCTAGAATGAGGGTGGAGTTGGGGTAGTTTCAGTGCATTTCACTCTAAATAATTATTAAAACTAATCATTTTGAAATGCTTACGGAAACAGTAACATCAATTAAAAATTTAGTCCAGATGAAATAATTGTATGTCTTCATGTTTGGGAAAGGACAAAACAATTGACAGTATTTCTTCCCAAGCAGAGTGCCAGCATGGCCCTGTTCTTTCTTATTTATTGCTTTCTCTTTTTCAAGAGTAGAATGTGTGCTGGCTTGTGGGGAGCCAGGATGGACTATCTGGCTAAGCTCCATTTATTCAGCTTAGTTCAAGCCATGTAATATCCAGAATACTTTGTCAGTGCTTCATTTTTAATAGCAAATTGCACATTTTTAGTGATGGGAATCAGCCGATAACATTTCCGAAGCTAATTTTACTTTTTGGCCCAAGTTTCAAAGTATTAGGGAAATGAGCTAGTTATGGTTTATTTTCAACAGAAAATAAAAAATTATAAACTAATCACTGGATATATTTAATGAAGATTCCTGATTGTCAAGTGTTTTCATAACGTACATTATTCCAAAAATAGGTAAAACTACCAAAACTATTGGCATTTAATTGCATCAATTTACATTTGCTCTGATTTTATTGTAGGTAGTTATCTCCTTTGATTTTAATAAGAGAAGTGTCATTTTTTTCAACCTTATAGACAACATCTGGGGAAGATGTACGAGACTTCACAAAGGTGTTGAAGAACAAGTTCAGGTCAAAGAAATACTTTGCCAAACATCCTCGGCTTGGCTACTTGCCTGTCCAGACAGTTCTTGAAGGTGACAACTTAGAGACGTAAGTTTGATTTTAATATTAAATCTTCTGTGAACACTTATCTGATGTTGTCCTTTTTTAAATGTTAGTTACACAAGAGAAATTGCTTAAAATATTTGTGTCTTGGTAAAATGTTTCAGGGCTGTGTATGTTAAAAAAAAAAAAAATCAGACCAAATAGCCTATTCTTCCATTTTGACATCTTGACCTAAACT